TTATTCGCATCTGGAGTGGTCCCTACCCAGCCTTAGCTCGTGTTGCAGCTCTGGACATGACTAAGAAAAGGTTAAAAGTTGGTGATGCTGGAAAAGCCGATCTCCAGGCTCTTCTTCCCTACTGTATCTCGGCACTCAGCGATCCTTCGAAGCGCGTCCGTCAAGCCGCGGCCGACCTAATCACTGTCCTTACTGGTCTATACACTCCTCCAGTTCCTTCTACGGGATTCGACCTCTGGGGTCAACAGAGCCTCTACGGAAAGTCCAAAGAAATAATGTCACTACCATCTGATGTTGTCACCAAGGTTCTGCATCTTCAGATTCTTCCTACCGTTGAGGAGTGTGTCATGGACCCTGAACATATCACTGCCGTCCTTCGTACCGCAATTGAGCAAGGCAAATACCAGTCCAAGCCGAACCCTGCATTGGATAAGAAGGACCACTTGTCTCAACCTGGAAGACTATCTTTCCTTCAGTTTCTGGCCTCACACATCGTCAACACACCATTGATTCTGGTAAAGAGTAGGTTGCTGAAGACCGTCAACGAAGTCCGAGGCGTCAGTACCACGACAAGAACGCAACTTCTACTCCCTGTTTTGCAATGGTGGGCAAGTCTAAGCGAGGATGAGGCAGCTAAGCTCTGCAGCGCAGAACGCCTAGAAAAGTCAGATATGGACAATTGTTTTGTTGATGTTGTAGTGCCAAACGACGTCGCAGGCTTAGAGTTCTTCCTGGAGTTTCTCAGAGATCCAGACCAAAGAGAAAAGGCTGATCTTATTCGTGCAACTTTCACTCGCATGAAGAAGATGTGGTCTTCCATGAAGCCTAATGTCAAGTCAACGGCTGCCGATCAGTTGCTGGAGATCTCCCAGGAATCAGCAGTCTCAGCAGACAGCAAATCAGTTGTTTCTGCAGAGGCGGCTGACTTTTTAAGGAACGTGCGACTCACCACCGATATTCTTCATGACTTCCTTGAGTCGATACAGACTGGAACGAAGATGGTCACCGAGCCTCCACCCAATAAGCGCCGCCGAACTAGCTCTTCTGGAGCCGACCGTGGTCTCATCACTCAGGTTACTCCTGAACTCAGCCAGTCGCTGCGAAAGGTCACATTCGTTCTGCAGCTAGTCGAGAATTCAGACCCAGTTGAGCATCCCGAGCTCTTGGATGGCCTGTTTACTGCCCTCTCTGAGCTCCAGCACTTTAGAACAGTCGTCGGATCCGAGCTCGGCTACCTACAAAACCTCATCCTTCGAAGTCTCTTGGCCATGATGCCAGCTTACAAGGCGAATAAGAAGCTCACGATAGACAGCTCTGGTGGGTACGGAGATTTGCTTGTTAACTGCATCCAAAGATCTTCAAGTCCCGTTGTTCAGAATGCTGCCCTGCTCCTGATTGCCAGTCTGGCCACGACCGCGCCGAACTTGGTGCTGCATAGTGTCATGCCCATTTTCACCTTCATGGGCACCTCGGTACTTCGCCAAAGCGACGACTACTCTGCCCATGTTGTGTCTCAGACTATCAAGGAAGTTATTCCTCCACTAATCAACTCTCTGCGTCAGGGGCAGAAGAGCCCCATCGCTGGTGCCTCTGATATTCTTGTCAGCTTCACAACGGCATACGAGCACATCCCCACTCATCGACGACAGGGGCTGTTTGTTGCCCTCGTCGAGACTCTCGGCCCACAAGACTTCCTCCACGCTCTTATCAGTATGCTGGTTGATCGATACGGTGCGAGTGACGCTCTGCTGCAATTCATTATCGAGTTATTGAACCACTTCAGCATCCCAACACAACTCGAATCGCTCGTCAAGCAGCTTGACCTTATTGCTGACCTGTTCAAGGCAAAGCCTGGCATATCTCTCGTCCTCCTCGGTGTCACTGACGAGACTGAAGACAAAAACAAGGATGTCGAAGCCATTGCCCTCCGACAACTATCAGCCTTCCCTAGCTTCTTAGCTAATAAGAAACTCAGAGCGCAGATCGGAGGTTTGATGGAGAAGGATGATATGGAGGCATCGAGATTGAGGGAGCTCTATGCCACACTTCTTGAAAACATCCTTGTTCTAGCTGATACGGTCAAGACGAATAAAACTCTCCATGGCCGCTGCGGACAGGCTCTCTCCAATCATCTCAACTTATTGTCAATTGGAGAGTTTATCAAGGCTGTGGAGAACCTGCTCGATAGACCTGACATGGGACTGCGGCAAAAGGTCCTACGAGCTCTTGAGGTTCGGGTGGAACAGGAGAGCAACACCGACCCAGCATCAAGGACTGTCTTGCTTGCTTTCCTTCCTCAGCTTACGGCCGGTATCAGAGAGTCGACAGATATGCGATACAAGCACACCGCTGTCACATGCGTTGACAAGATTGCCGAAAAGTATGGAAAGAAGGACATCGAGGCTGTTGTGGCAGCAGCTACAACAATTGCTGGCGAGCACTGCTTGGGGCAGTCTGAGGAGCGGCTCCGAGTTATGGCTCTCTTGTGCCTTACCTCGCTCGTGGACGTACTGCAAGACGCCATCGTACCCGTTCTGCCGAGCGCAATCCCGCAGGCTGTCGAGTACCTAGCCGAAAGCTTGGGGAGGGATGCTCGCGATGAGGAACTTCATGTTGCTTGTTATGGATTCATCAGCGCTCTGGCTCAGCACCTTCCATACATGCTTTCAACATATGTTGATCGCATTCTGGAAGTCTCCAACAGATCGGCCGAGATCGAATTGGATGATGATACGAAGGAAAGCCGTGTCGATTGTCTTCACTTCCTGGCTAAGCAACTTGAGGCGAAGGAGATTTTCTCGGCTCTGGACCGAAACTGGGATAGTGCCAGAAGTGCCGGCTTTTCTGTAAGTTTGATAATCACTGTGAGTATGAAAGTTGCTAACTTTTACAGGCTGTTGCTGAATATCTTGATGTTCTCGGCTTGGCCATTGACAAGCACTCCAAGTCTGGCATTTCCAAGAATGCCACGCTACTATCAAGCATCCTCACAAAGGTCTTTGATCTGCGACGACAGGAGCGTGCCAATGGTGAGATTGGTGAGCAAGATCTTTTGAGGCTCAGTGCTCTTGACGCCAGCACCAACGACAAGGCGTTGAAGATGATCTACAAGCTCAACGATGCGGCATTCCGACCCGTCTTTGTTCAGCTTATGGAGTGGTCAAGCTCCGGATTGTCGAAGAGCGACCGAGTGGGACGCTCGCTGCGTCAATACAGTGTCTATGGATTCCTTGAGGCATTCTTTGGCACTCTTAAATCGATCGTTACCAACTACGCTACATACATTGTCGAGGATGCAGTCAAGATCTTGAAGTCGGTGGATCTGAAGAGCCCAGAGGAGAGACAACTCTGGTCAAGGGTACTACGGACCCTGGCCAACTGCTTCGAGCACGATCAGGATGACTTCTGGCAGGCTCCGGCCCACTTTAGCGCCGTTGGACCGGTCCTGATGGAGCAGTTCTCACATGCTGGTACGGTGGAGGTGACGGAGGAGCTCATCCCAACAACAGTGGAGCTGGCCTCGGCGGCAGATTCACAAGCTCACCAGAAGGAGCTCAACTCTGCCCTCCTGAAGCACCTGCGATCCGAGTCTGCGGCAGTGAGACTTGCCGCGGTCAAGTGTGAGCAGGCACTGACAGATCGTCTTGGCGAAGAGTGGCTGTCTATGCTGCACGAGATGCTGCCTCGCATTAGCGAGTTGCAGGAGGACGATGACGAGGTAGTTGAACGGGAGACGCACAGATGGATACTCAAGATTGAGGGAGTGCTAGGAGAGAGTTTGGACGCAATGTTACAATAGACAAAAGGAGAGAAATAATTAACAGCATGAGGTGGAGGAAGGGAGGGAGGGAGGGAGGGAGGGGGCAGGACTGGAGTCGGCCTTTGAGGAGCTGGGAATGAGCATGCGATGACGTAGAAAAGTTACACCAGCATGAGCTATTAGAGGTTTACTAAGTATGCAGAATGGAGAAGCTTGATTTGTTAGCATTAAACAAGGCTGATATGCTACATAGTATGTGTGACATGTGAGAATATGCTTGAGTATGTAGGACCGTGCTGTGTAGCAAGGAAGGGCATGTGAGTCAAATGGTGGAAGAAATTTCTATGGTATCGGACAGCCGGGTCTTGGATATCACAGATTCCGGGGACACGGATCAGTCCGCGACCGTGAGTCCAAGCTCGTGAGCGGAAAACTTTCAAGGTGAGTAAGAAGATGTAAGGGGACGGCTCCGATGAATTATCGTTGGCGGAGTGTTCACCGGGAGGACCGGGGGTCCCAGACGCAAGTACCGACTACAGGGAAGCCCCTCGTAGTAGATCGTCCAGAAAGGGTATCAGGTACAAACAAGGCTTAGTACTAGACCTAGCTACCTACTTAACCTATGACATCGAGTAAAACACTACCTTACCTAGGTACGTATGTAGCTGAAGATGATGGTGACGATGGATTGATATATAGCTACTTAGGTAGTCTAATAAGTTGCTCCTTAAATAGCACCAACGCCCGCTTAGTTACGGCTTTTATAATACATTCAGTAAATCCCAGTCAACGTTTGTTGAATACTCACTCATCATCACTCTATCTCGGTTCTTCTTATCCTAGTGGAGGCAGCTAGAGAAACACCCACTTGACTTACACGGCGAGACTTGCGGTACCGCAAACCCACGGTCAAGATATTCTGTTGTTTATACTATCTACAAATCTGCATCATCAAGGACTCATTGGCTAGCGTTTCCGTTATACTACGGGTTTTCTAGTCACGCGAAATTAGGAGTTACGCCATGATCGGACTCGGTCTGGGGCGTAGGAGGACAGAACATCGTTTGGTGGTGAAATTGGGAAGAGTCACTTGCAAGAGACTGGCCAGTACAGTGACACAAGAAGGTGAGTGCGGTAACTTGCTATGGGGTCAATTGGCTTGTGCTTTTGCCTCTGCGCCTTAAGAGACTTGAATGGCCTCGGAGCGAGCACCTCATCTTCTGTCACCACCCTAACTAACATGAGCTTTCTCTCAGGACCGAAAGAGCGCATCGTCGTTCTCGGTTCGGGCTGGGCTGGATACGCTCTGGCAAAGGCAATATCTCCCTCTCAAGCCTCTCGAATTCTCATCTCTCCTCGCTCTCACTTCGTCTTCACTCCCCTTATCGCCTCAACCGCTGTTGGCACTCTCGAGTTCCGTGCTGCCGTTGAGCCCTGTCGTAAACTCGGTCTTACAGAGTTCCACCAGGCTTGGGCTTCTGATATTGACTTTGCCAGCAAGACCATCACCGTTGAAGCTAACCAGCGTGATGGAGTCACGGCTCGCTCGGGCAAGGATCTGTTGAAGGGCCTCGAGTTCCAGGTCCCGTATGATAAGCTTGTAGTGGCCGTCGGGTGCTACAGTCAGACTTTTGGCGTGGAGGGTGTCAAGGAGCATGCATGTTTTCTAAGAGATGCTACAGATGCCCGAACAGTACGTCTAAAAGTGCTGCAGAAGTTCGAGCAGGCTTCTCTGCCCAGTACAAGCGCAGCTCAGAGGAAGCGACTGCTTCATTTTGCGGTTGTAGGTGGCGGCCCTACAGGTATCGAATACGCGGCCGAGCTTCACGATCTCATACACGAAGACTTGTCCAAGCTGTATCCCGAACTAATGCCTCACGTTGCCATCACCATCTACGACATCGCACCAAAGGTTCTCCCTATGTTTGATCGCAATCTGGCCGCATACGCCACAAACATCTTCAGCCGTGCAGGCATCAAAGTCAAGACCGAGCATCACCTCGAGGGCATTCGACGAGACGACGATGTTCTCCTAATGCGTATCAAGGAGGAACCTGAAGAAGTCGCAGCAGGCGTTGTCGTCTGGAGCACGGGTCTCATGCAGAACCCTCTGGTAGGCAAGTTAGTCGGACGAGAGGTGGAGGGCATGGGAAAGATCGCAAAGAACAGCAAAACAGGCGGCTTCGCTGTTGATTCCCACCTTCGAGTCCAGGTCGAAGCCCAAGACTCCAACGGCAAACAAATCACCAAGACACTCCCGGGCGTCTACGCAATTGGGGACTGCGCCAATATCCAAGGCGAATCACTTCCCGCCACTGCACAAGTTGCAAGTCAACAGGCTACATATCTCGGCAAGAGATTCAACGCTGGGACGTCTTCTCAGGGGCCTCCGACGGCTCCCTTTCACTTCCGTAACTGGGGTACAATGGCGTATCTTGGAGGTTGGAGGGCTATTCATCAAAAGGGCACTGATGAGCTCAAAGGCCGAGCGGCGTGGATTCTGTGGCGGACGGCGTATTTGACCAAGAGCATGAGTCTAAAGAATAAGCTCATGATTCCGTTTTACTGGTTGGTTACATGGATTTTTGGTCGAGATATCTCGAGGTTCTAAGGCGATTGATCACTGGAGGGATGGTTGGATAGTTGAGACAATTCCCTTTCCAGCAATAAAAGTGACGTCTCGAGGTTGCTTTGCTCAACCAACATTTCAAGCAGATGCATTCCATTGTTCTAGTCGAAAACGAAGTGAGGTGCTGCCAAGTCTTGAGCTCACAGACAGTTATACAATTCATTGCCCTGCCTACCCTATGTCACTGTAACTCATCAATCATCTCACCACCCTTTTACCTCACAACTTTGTAAGTAATATCGCTCACTCCACCCTCACCCTTCCAAATATCTTTCCTTTTCGCAAAAAAACACAACTTTAATTGGCAAATAGCAATAGAAGCATAAGCCCAAACAGAGTTGACTATATGCAAGTCTCCACTCCCAGCCATACCGATTAATCTACCAGACACTAACCCCGCCAAAGCCATTCATCTGATTTCATCACCATCAACCATGGCCAAGCCCGCAGTCAACTACGGCCTATACTTGGTCACAGACTCAACACCAGACATTCTTGGCCATCGCAGCCTTGAACAAGTAGTTGAGGCTTCTTTGCGAGGCGGTGTCACCATCCTTCAATATCGGGACAAGCACAGTGAGCGCTCAGTCGCTGTAGACACAGCCAAGAAGCTACACGCCATTGCCCGTCGTTACAATGTCCCCCTTCTCATCAATGATCGTGTGGACATTGCCGCTGAGATAGACTGTGAGGGTGTGCATATTGGACAGGATGATATGGGTATGTTATGTTGATCTTTCTCACTGCCTAGGTACCTATCAAAATATGATCTGATCATTTGTAACAGCATATGAAGAAGCAAGAAAACTTCTTGGCCCCAACAAAATCATTGGCGTGACCGCAAGTTCAAAGGAAGAAGCTCTCAAGGCCTGCGAGGCCGGTGCTGACTACCTCGGTATCGGAACTGTCTACTCAACTCAGACGTGAGTGATATACAAGCATTCATTATGTGACTCACATCAGCCCCTGACATGCCATCAGCAAAAAGGACACAAAATCTATCATCGGCCCCTCGGGAGTCCGGGATATTCTCTCAGCCCTATATGATGCTGGCTATGGCTCCGTCCCTACTGTCTGTATAGGCGGTATCAACGCCAGCAACACTGCCCCTGTTCTCGCTGCAGCCGGGTCCCCCTCCAAGTCTCTCGACGGTGTTGCTGTAGTGAGCGCTCTCATCGCTGCTCCCGAGCCAGCTACCGTTGCTCGCGATCTCCTCGGTAAAGTCATCGTCGCCAAAATCCCCGAAGTTATCAAGGCCGTAGCCGACAAGACGCCCCTTTCTCATAACATGACCAACTTGGTGAGTACAGCTCGGTTCATGTGATGACCACGTTAAATTCTCATGCTAGAAATTCAGGTCGTTCAGAACTTTGCCGCCAATGTGGCTCTTTGTGTTGGGGCAAGCCCCATCATGGCCAACTACGCGGAAGAAGCTGCTGATCTTGCCAAACTTGGAGGTGCTCTTGTGGTCAACATGGGCACCGTCACTCCCGATGGACTCAAGAACTATCTCCAAGCCATCGAGGCCTACAACGAAGCTGACAGACCTATAGTCCTTGATCCTGTCGGGTAAGCCTCCAAAATACCATCAATTAATCAACTGTACTCATTTTTTCAGCGCTGGTGCTACCACCGTCCGTCGCAATGCCGTCAAGACTCTTCTCGATGCTGGGCATTTTACCGTCATCAAGGGCAATGAGGGTGAGATTCAGACTGTAGCGGGCGCCACAATTACACAACGGGGCGTCGACTCAACCTCTTCCCTCACTTTTCCCCAAAAGGCATCCCTTGTACGCTCCATCGCCTTGCACCGGCATACTGTCGTCATACTCACAGGCGCCACCGACCTTGTAAGTGACGGAACTCGTACTATAGCCATCAGCAATGGACATCCCTATCTTGGCGAAGTCACAGGCACTGGATGCACTCTTGGCACAACAGTCAGCGCCATGGTTGCTGCGTACGGCGCTGACCCTCTTCTCGCTGCTGTTGCCGCGACTGTCATGTTTGGGCTCGCTGCTGAGCTCGCCGCTGAGAGGAAGGAAGTCCGTGGACCAGGCTCATTTGTGCCGACATTCCTTGATGAGTTGTACAATATCCGAAAATCAACTGCCAAGGGTGACCTGCGGTGGCTGACTATGGCCAAGGTCAAGGCAGTTGAAGTTGATATCGATGTCGTTCCAGGTGAATGAAGCTCGCCAGACAAGAACTGAAAATGGCTGAATAGATAACAAAGAAAACTCCATCTATCTTGAACAAGCTTACTTTATGCCACCTAAAAGAGAAAGGGCATTGTTGAGTAGCACAACGACCCAATGCCACGATATTGATACGACCTTCTTCACCGACTTCGTAAGGCGTCAAGTCGACTCATTCAAGACACCAGGATCACCAATAATGTTCCATACATTATAACCTCTCGTAGCCGCCGCTTGCCAAAAGTCCGTTCCTGAATCATCCATCAAGAAGTCTTGACTGAAGTCTACGAGATCAGCGTTGCCAGATCCCGTAAGTAGACGCTGTCTCTCAGCCTTGACCAAATCTCTCACTGACTTCAGCTGCTTCACAAGTCTCTCGAAAGGATCTGGTGGAGGCGCGGGTGTAGCTGCTGTCGTCCCCCCGGGGGTCGGAGTACCTAGCATGTTGCCGTGTTTGCGGCGCCCCACGATGATGTCCAGATCCTGGGCTTGCTGGCTCATCACCTCTACCATGTCAAGCTCTGCGTGTATCTGGGCAAGGTTCCACCCAGGTAATTGGAGTGTTACGACCTTGATGCCAACAATGATAGTGTACACAAGTTCAGACGCACTCATACACAGAAAACGTGGGCGTTCCATTTCTCGATGATCGAACCGGATATCGAAAAAGGTCTTAAGAGATCGGACACAAGCCCAGAGAAGTTGGAGCCGGTCGGTTAGAGGAAGATAGGATGCTGCAGAGTGTTGGTCCGAGACGGCGATCTCATAGAGGAGCACCTCGGCTACGTTTACATGGGTCTTGAGATTATCTAAATCATAGTGAGCGCTAGACGATCGGAATGGGGTGACATAAATTGTACATACCGTTATCAGCGAACCGTGGGCCAAGATTGTCTTTGTACAGCTGTAACTGTTCCTCAAACGACCGCACTACCATTGCCAATGGTAGTTTGCTGGCGGTCTGGCTTAGATTCTCCGCTGACATTGTGATAGATATGGACTGTGCCAGCTGCTGAATGCGCACCAGCTTTATCAAGTACTCATCAGAGGGGTACTGCATAGTTCTCTCAAGAACTCTGCAGCACATTTCCAGATGGCTGGTATTCATAAGGACATCAGGCCGCTTGTTCGCTGTGAACACTCTAATCCACGTCAGAAAATCGCGGAATGAAGGTGCGTAGTTCTTACAAGGTATTAAGGTAATAAGTACCAGCATAAACTCTCATATGATCAAGATTGCGATCAGATTCTTCTCCTTGAAGGCTCGTATCTTCCGTGAACCTCAAATTTACGCATATAGCTCTAGCAAGGAACAGCAGATTCGTTACTTGAGAGCCCTTCAACGCATAGTGAAACCTGCGACAAGTTAGGGGCGTGCTAACGAAACAGTCGCCATATCAGTACATACCATGCCACCAGCATTTGCAAGCTCTGGAGTAGATCCAGACTGTTAAGGCCGTCTACGACAGCTGCTCGCCCAATCTCAGCTAGTAACTCTTGGCCAAGCTTAACCTGTCTAGCTCCATCAAGAAACAACCCTACCATCATGACAGCCTTCCACAGGAATGGCCGATGCTCACGTAGCTCCAGGGCTGTCATATGCCCAGGAACACACACAAACGGAAATAGACATGAATGGATTGTCCTATAGCCGTTGAGAAGTAGCTCCGCTTCACGGGGCGTGGGCCACCAGGAGTCCCATGGCCGTGTCTTGTTCGGGGCTGATGGTGGAGGATGTTGACCGGGGGTATTTTCAATTCCCGGCTTTAAGGGAAACAAGTGGTTGAAACCCCAGGCATCAGATTTGGCCAACAGCTCTGAGCGTTTCTCACTCGTCGAAGGTGGAGGCGAAGAGCCCTCTTCTTCTGAAGACTCGCGCCTTACGTGCGAGGACAGCTCTTCAAGGCGTTTCTCCAAAGCTGCTATCTTGGATAGCTTTGGGCTTCTACGGGGCCGGGCCGGAGCCGGAGTTTGGTTAACACATGGCTTGTCTAGTCGATGGCACCTTGAAAGTTGAGACTCTGATGTCAGCAGCTGTACCTAATCACAAACTTACAGGTGTGTATGCACTCAAATAGACGGGGTTTGGGACAAACGCAACCAACACAAGCCATGAACAACACCATCCTCAAAAGAACCAATTACTGTAACTTACCTGTCGCATTTGAGGCTTCCCAGAGGTCCAGGGACGCACCTTGCCTTAGCTTTAGCGCATGTTGTACAGGCCTTGGGTCCCTTGTTCTTAGCCTGAGTAGAGTTGGGGTTCATATTGTCATTACTGAGTTGTCTGATTCTTGTTAGTCTCACAGAAGCAGGAAAAGCGGTTTGCAAAAAGGAGACGGAGTTGAAAACGGCGTCGATATCCCAGACACTGAACGACATTCTCTGGACCCCTGTCATTTGGGTTGTCGTTTGACTGGTCTAAGGCTGGCAGGATGCAGGGATCTTGTCCCCAAGACGGAGACGGACCACGAAATCTCACCGGGCCTCCGCCTTATGGACACGGCACCGATCATTCAGCTCTCCACCAACCTATTATCCAGAGACCTCGGTACAATATTCTTCCGAGCATGGATATGATCGTCATATCATGACATGGCTTGATTTACGTAGCATAAATTATCCGTCATAACTGTGTGGTCATGATGATCACAATTCGTCAAAAAAGTCCGCGAGGATTTGGGAAATAATGATATGCGTTTACTCCATATCACAAGATGTGATAATGGGGAATAAATCAATTGGCGTGCCCAGAGAACAGCATAAATGGTAAAATATATCTCA